AGTTGTGAAGCATGTACCAGTTCTCTTCAGGAGATTGAGTCATGGTGAAGGATTTTTCTGAAGGTGATCATTTAGAGATGCTTGTCCTTTGTCTTTGACATGTGTTGAGACCCAGAGCTACTTCAGGTGGTAAACCTATCAATTTTGCAGGCAAAGGTATAGCTAAACTCTTATTTCGAATGTTTTTAGCAGATGGTTTTAGTTGTGTTTTACGGTGACCACTGATAAGAATGTTGCCTGGCCTTGTATGGTTATCAGACAAAAGTATCCTGTGAGAAAGACTAACTTTCTTTATCATTGTTAACAGTTTTTAGTTGCTTGTTTGTCACTTCCCTTTCACATCCCATTGGAGGTGATGCATAGCTGCAGTTCTTAGTACTACTGACACCTGGCCTGTTACAACTGTGGTTTTTCAGGCTTCGGTTACAGCTGGGACATTCATGGAGAGTTTCACCCTTTTTGGAGATGAATGGGTTGAAATGAATATAACTTATACACTGCGTAAAAATGTAGTGTATACAATACACAGTATCTGTTGGTCTTTAGGGATATCGGCCTGTCAAGCCATGATGTATCAATGTGTGAATCAATTGCACCCTGCTTTTGTTGCAAATGAAAGCGACAACAGGTGCAGGACAGTGCAGGACACCAAAGAGGCAACATTGAGACACCCCCAAAACAAGGGGATGGTTTTGCAGAGGGTGACCATTGCTCTCTTTATTCCTTCTGACGGATTTTTCTCGAGCGATGATTTCGAGAGCTCCTGTAATTTTTCTGAGGTGGTGTTGCAACATTATTTGTTAAATGCTAAGAAATGTGACCAGCCGTTGGTACTGTTGAAGAGTTCTTATTGAGTCATGGAGCTTTTTTCTCAGTAGCCATGATTTGTCTTATTAGGTGAAAACGTATGTCCTTCATCGAGCCGCACTGTGCTTGTGTCCAAGCAGTCTTGTATTTTTAATATTCGCTCTCCCTTTTATCTCTGCTTTGGTCTCAGTAGCATTTCTCTTAACAGCTAAGATCAAAGTTAACCCTATAATCGCGTAGTTCTAGTGATAACCACATGACTTAATATCTAACCTTTCTGAAACAGCAGCAGAACACACGGAGTCAAAAACAAAGCTAAAAAGAAGCCAAAAAGAAGTGGTATTGAGACTGGTTCTCTTCTGGTTGATGGTCATTTGGGCCAAAGCTGGACTCACTTACTGCAATGGTAAGTGTTGTGCGGACCAAAGGTAAGCTAAGTTAAGATAGCCACACTTACCGTGAGTCAAGACTAACAATCAAAGCTCAAATTTATCATCGTTTTCTCACAAAAAAAGTCTGATATCCCAGAACAACAGTGTGTGATCTTTATTAATATATCGGTTATTGAAAGAGAGTTTGGGTAACTGAAGTTAAGCGTGCAATGATGTCCTACATTCAGCAGCTATTAAAGTTGGTGCAGCAGAGAAATTTAGGAAGAATCCAAATATTACAAATCATTTTTGTTACCAGTGGAAAAGTGACTCTTAAGGCTCCTCTGAAATACTTTGGTTCTCCTTCACAACCTGTGTTCCCAGCCATGGTGGCTGACCCCCGGGGAAGCAGCAGGCTCAGGCATGTAATCAATGAACACACAGCAGAGTGAACACAAAGAGCATGTCCTCACCTGAGAGGACGTCTCTTCCTGTGTCTTTCCGTAGTGATTATGTTTTTATCGGTGTGGTTAGGGTGACTCATGTATCTGAAGCTAAGTCAAGGTTAAGCTTATGCATTGGTGGAAAGTGTGTGAGTCAGGGGAGATGGATCTGGCAACACACACTCACGAACACAGACTGTATATAAAAGATGTCACTATGATGTCACCCATTGGTTAGCGTAGTTCCAAGCCGAGAGTTTTCAGCATCATCCAGTGTGGCTGTTTTTGTTTATTGAGACAAAGAGATGGATCCGACCTTGACCCCAGGCAACACGTTCTCACTGCCGAGGTGTAATATTTTAAGCTAGGTGACAAATCGTCAACATGTTACGCTTCCGGGCACCCAGCACGTTCCTAAATGACCAGATCGGAAAAATGAGGGAACATGAGAACCATTTGGAATCAATCCACACATGTTTGTTCATTTTCCTCAAATTCCTTTGGAAAACACTATTTCATGTCATGAAAGTGCTGGTTAAGGTTAGGGCTGGAATACATGGCATGGAGGTCACAGAGATGGGATGTCCCTAACATAGTCATCTCAGGCACAAAGAAGCCCCACCCACCTTCTGCTCAAACCTTCTGTTTGTAAGAGGCAGCCAATCAGAAAACATCTGGATTGAAATGAAGGGGAACTTCAACAGCTTGTTCAACCAGATAAACGAAGCCCGAATATAAAATACATAAAGATTATTTCCTATATAAATCATGCAAAGCTACTTTAATAGAGTCTAAAGGTAAATATATGGAGCTGAGCAGAGTAGGTCCCCATTCATTAATTCAGATTAAAATCCACAATAGTTGCAGTTTGTTAGCTAATAGTAGCACGTGCAATCAGAAAACGGTCACTGATGTGGATAAACTTGGAGACAAGGGGGACGAGAGCCTCCTCAGCTGAGCTCATGATTTAGGCTGAGAGCACAGATTTATTTATATATCATGAGCCGCGTCGTGCAGCTTTAACGTGCACGTCTGCTGAATGTGTGGAAACGATAGAAAAAGGCTGATGAAACTGTATCTCTAAGAACAGAACAGCTGGTGCACCGACACCCGCTGACACCCAGCGCTTGATGCTGCTGCGTTACCATGACAACCTGCTGCGTACCCTCTGTTTCTGACAGCTGTTCCCATTGCGCCCATGCTTTGCTCAGCCCCTGGACTCACGTCGGCAGGATGGATAGCTTCTTGGGGTCAGGGGTCATGTTTATGACGTTGCTGCCGTGGAATCGTCATGTTGGTTTTTCATCTGAAATACAGCTTAGGGCTTAATTTTGGAAAATGTCCATTCAACCATAAATTAAAGCTTAAATTGAAGCATTTTTAAGTAAAATACATGAGCATATGAGTATTTTTGCAGACATGCGCAGACACTTTCTATTGGAAGCATGTGATGTTTGTATCCGTCCTCCTCTCATTATCTATTGAACCTTCAAGGCTTCATCCTGTTTTCCTCAGTCACACACAGCCAATAATGGTGATGGATTAAGAGCTCAGGATCATTGTCATCATGCACTCTGAGAAAATAAAGTAACTTATTAAGAGCTGAGCCCTTAACTTAGAGGCTAATTTTATATTCTTTTATAGGATTTATAATTTCAGATTAAACATAACATACCTAAATGATTATCTAACGAATGATTTAACCAATTGATTTGTCATCTAACCTCAACATTAATGAATAAAAGCAGATTTCATTCAGCCCTCCTGTGCCTGTTTCAGCCATTTCTCGTGTGAGCTGATTGGCCGAGATGTGTCCCAGACCGCCGGGCTCCTCCCCGCTCCAACTGTGCATGGTGGCAGTCTGCTGCAGCAGCACTGTGAGCCACAGACAAGCAGAAAGTCTTCAGTGAAGAAAATCACGGCCGCGGCTTTGACAGTTTCTATTCGACATTCTGTTTTTCTTTATTTGAGGACGACTAGAAATTTTTCTGAAATTGTTTACCATTTCATCCGGATATAGTGCCTTTTACTTAAGACTGACACAGACCTTTTTAGAGAAAGAAGAATCGTGTTGAGGCACAGCAACATTCTTGGACTTTGATTGGGTCATGCTGGAGGATAGTTATCTCTTTGATTATTTGTACCATGAAAAGCTGTTGACAACAGATCAGGTGTTATGTTTTCAACCCGTTTCCTGCCCAGCAGCTGACATACAGAAAGCGATGTCTGCTTACAATAGACCCAGGTAACCAGTCTACACTAAGTGTATTTGAAGGTCTTTTAAATGTATTTATTATTAAGTTATCTCGAGATCTGGGTGCTTGTGATGGGTGCTGTTTCTAAGCTCACAGCTCTGTTACCTCAGCAGTGTTTCCCACACATACTTTGGTTACAGTTGAAGCTTTGGACCACAGGATAAGAAGCTGTCTGGAGACCCAGCTGAATGATATCGAAACCACCACAACAGCAGTTTGCCCTGTGACCCAGCCAATGGGAAAACAGAAGATGAGCAGGGGCGGGGCTAGCTGGTTAGCATGGACTAAACTGTCAGATTATTGAAATTATTGATGTTTTTCTCTTAAAGTTGTGGCTGAGTGGGCTGTCCAAGTAATGCCTGTGTGGAAAACACAAATCAGTGTGGAGCGCTCAGCGCCCTGATGACCAGCAGGTTTTCCACTTATCCCGCTTTATTTGTGGGTTTCATTCATTTGTCATTTTCAACTTTGTCAAGTGTGCAGAAGTGTGAATTTCACAGTTTTTGACAAATAGCTCAGCTAAAACGTCGGTGTGTTGCGAGAGCCCTGAATAAAGTTTGTTTGGTTACACAAATTGGCTGCAAATGTGTGAATGAAGCCATCTCCTTCCTGTCTTAAATCTCTTACTAAGCGAGGTAATTAAAGTCCCTGTCTGGGTCCCATATATGCGAGCCATGCTATGCTAATTCAGTATTCCTTTGACACTTCTGTGGAGACAACATTGTGGGTGTTTTCACATGGCCTGATTTGCAATTCACACTCGGGTTATTTCCATCACTGGCATCCTGGGAAGCAGGGAGGGAGGAAGTCTGTGAGCCACAGAGCGCAAAACTGAGCTGAAGTTTCACTTAATTGGGTGTATGATTTTTTTTTTCTTAAAGGGACCTTTCAAGTGGAGCTCTAATTGCCACTTATTTTCCTTTAACTGAAACATCACTTTCTTTTTCTGAACGATTTATTTATTCTAAGAATTATTCAGTTATTCAGACATCCTTCAACATCTTCTGGTTTGGTGTATGGATAATTAGACATCGAGATCTCTGTGAGTTAAGAAGTTTAACAAACTAAAGTTCATGATGTACCACTAATGGGCAATCTTCCACTTCTGTCTTCTCTCCTTTCAGAACACTGCACAAGCAGTTTGAGAGCTACAAACAGGAAGTGCGTCGCATCGGGGCCGAGACGCGGCGCCAGCAGACCCAGCAGAAGGACGACGCGCCCACCTGCGGCATCTGCCGCAAGACTAAGTTTGCAGATGGCTGCGGCCACCTCTGCTCCTACTGCCAGATCAAATTCTGCGCTCGCTGTGGAGGGCGGGTCTCTCTGCGCTCCAACAATGTGAGAAGCCTCTGAATGTTTTCCTTCGTCCTCTCGTACTCACCTCATTCCTGCTGTAGACGATTCACGATCGCTCCTTCTGCTTCTGTGTGTTTGTCACGTCTGCTTTTTTTGTTTCCTTGTCACACTTTGGTGAGAACAAAGTGTATTGGAAGAATGGCTTGGCACGAGACATAGGTGCCAAGCCAATCTTCCAAAACAGGAGCCGATGGGAATATTAGGTTTGCAAGTATTGAGTGAAACCAACAGTAAAGCAAAATGTTGGGCACAATCACACTAAATTCTAGGCTAAAGTATAAATTTTTAAGATAAAATTGAGTCTGTGTAGTCGTGCATGTCAGTACCAAAGATATAAAGATATATACATATCTTTGTGCCCTGGTTCTGGTGGTGCCACGTGAAGAGTCAGCTGATAAACAGCTTGTCTGGGTAATATCGTTTGTCTCAAAAAGAAATAAAATGCCAAACTAAAGCCAGCAATGCACTAAATGCACTGACCTGCACCAAGCCTGGGCTACAAGCTAAAAAGCAGCTTATTATAATTAAAGACACAGACTGTATCACCACGTTATCTCCATTCATGGGATTCATGTTGAATCAGTGTGCCTTCCAGCCATAAACTAAGCATGTTTGTGCTATTTTAAGACCCGGCCCCTCTTCCATCCAAGCTTTCTCTGGGCTCTCCTCCAACCCAAGAGAGAGGCCCACCTTCTGGTTATCTTACCTGACCATGAGCCCTCCACCCTTGGCCTGCTGGTTCCCAATCTGTTCAGTATCCGCCCATCCCAGCTGGGCCTGGACTCCCACTGGCACCACACGTATGTAGAACTCAAAAGGCCAGTCAAAAAAGGGGCTAAAGATAGTATCCCTGCTGGTACAGCCATTAATATTACTCTAACAGCAGGCACACTGCTTCACGGAAGTAAAGAGAGGAGGCTAGTATCATTTATAAATACAACAAATACGAACTTATTTGGACTTCATATAAAACCAGACAATGTGGTCTTCTCGAAGAACTTCATGGTTATACATTGAATTTAATAGAAATTTTACAAGTGAAATTTCAAGGTGCAAAATCTTTTAAATATTATTTTAGGTGTAACTTCATGTCTTTACTGCTTTGATCTTCTTGCTGGAGATTTTTGTTCATTTGTTTGTTTCTGTATTTGTGCTACTTTTACATAATGAATCAATTAATCTATAAACCTGCCTAATTAACTGGGGTTAGAAGACATCAAACACAAAATCTGCTCATTAAATGCTTCATTTACAGTTCATTAATAGATATTTTTAGAACATACTTTTTCCCCTTTATTTTTCTGGTCCGTCTCTCCTAAAGCCGATACGCCATTTTTCAAGATTCTTTCTAAGATTTGTTTTCTATTTATTTTAAACTAAAAGTTTCTGCATTCACAAGACAATTTCATTAATAAGTCCTTACAAGGAATACGCAACATGCAAGTCGTGCTCCACTTCTTCTCTCTATTTGTGTATGTGCATTAGCGAGCGTGTGTGTGTTATGTGGGAGTGATGTGTCAGAAGTGACGCTCTCATGGTCTCGGCAGTGCTTGCCTCTGTCCCGGCCCGTTTGTCCAGTCATGCAAAATAACAGCATTAGGAAAGTGTGAGATTTGTTGCATCACATAAAATTTTCTCCTGCCTACAGACTGCTCATTTACTCCACATGAGCAGAACACTTTATTTTCCTCCAGGCAGAAGTTTGTACCTCAAAATTACATTTAGTGCTCTATAAATATACTGTATGCACTTCATCACGTGCATTTTAATGAATGCACTACATACACTTTAAAAGTGAGCTGGCTAGAAACCGGCTTTTTGTCATTAAAAAAATACCACGGTACAAAGACGAGTACTAAATGTAATTTTAGAACATTGCCGTAAAAATACTCCATAAACCATTTTAAAGTCAACATGAAGTAAATATCAAAAACCTGTTTTCTGGGGGATCATTTTAAAACTGTACTACAAAAACTGTCTGGGTAAAATATCACGCTGTACACGACATCAGTATGTTGCACTTTGCTGGACATAATTTCACAGCCTCAAAGCTAGAGACCCTTTTGACAAAAGGACAAAGATCCATTCTCAGCCATACAGGGGCTCTGCAAAACTATAAAAAGAAAATAATTAGGGAGAAATTATCAGGAAACAAACGTTTACTTGTTCATAAGCAGCTTAGTGTAATAATTAATTAATTCTGATTGAAAGAGCTGTGTAGTGCTGCCCTGTGCCCTGCAGAAGGCATCACAGCGACACACAAACCACAAAGCTTAGCCTCTACGTGACGCTGGGCGCTAACTATTAGTTTAATGAGCAAAATATTTTGGATTTAAAGGACCTGAGATTGTTTGCAGTGCATAAATCCAGAAAATGGGTTAAAAGGGAAGACGTGTCCAAAAAACCAAAACAGTTCTCTGTGTTGCTTTTAGTGTAGCAGGCATGGCACATCCTGATCCTGTCGCAGGTCACGAGCAAGCACGTTGCATGCCGCCGCAGCCTAACGTGTCAGCAATCACATACATGTGCGTGCTGTTGTCTCCGCTGCCCTCAGACTCTGATTATGAAGTATGTGAAATAACTCTGCAGAATGTAACTAACAGATGTTTGCACCACATCCTCTTTCTCCTTTTTCTCCTCATGCATTTGCCCTTCTCTTCTCACAATCTGTCCGCTCTTCCACGTCACAACTTCACCTCCTCTACTTCTCCGTTCATTTGATCATTTATTTCTCTCCTTTCCTACTCCGACCCACCCCTCCCTCACTTTTCTTGATTCTCCCTGCTACCTGGACTGCATGCCACAAAGGAGGACAAAGTGGTTAGCATCCTTTTTTCTTTTGTTTTTTTCTGCTTTCTCTATGTGCTGTGAACGTGACGTCTGTACTACTCGAAGGTAAAGGAAGGAAATGCTGGCTGCGTTTAGATCTGGAGCTGATTTCTATCCTGGAAATATGATGCAAAACCAAATAAGTTCAGTTTCTTACACATTGGTGTCATCTGTCATTTAAAAAAACAAGAAAACAGCAGTATCAGATGCAAGAGAGCAAGCTATTGGGTTGGAACGTAGCCAGTATTTGCACAAATCCGCTTGTGGATTACTGACTTAACTGAACAAAGGGAGTCTCTGAAAGTTCATATAGTTTGGTTATTTCTCTGAGCCTTTACTGTACCATCCAGGGTGGAGACACCTGGAACTGTTGTCTCCTCAGCGGTTACTCTCTCCGTATAAATCCTGACTAACTCTGTTTCCATTGTCTGTCTCCTCCCCCTGCAAAGTGTCTCATAGTGAAGGACAGGGTAAGACTTGCTGGACAATCCATGGATTTTGCTGCATGGGTCACAACTATTGTCCCCTCCTCCCACACACGGGTCTGTGCTCATTCGCAGTTTCAGAAGAGGATTTCAGACCCGCCATCGGTTTTAAGAGGAGCTGGCTGGTGACCCCGTATTAGCACTCTAATTCTGAGAATGAACGCAGACCCTGAAAAGTAACTGACAGGCAGAGCGAGCATGAGCCATGACATAGGCTGTCTGCAGGGGCGTCTGAGCCATCCTGAGCCATCCTGAGCCATCCTGACCCCTCTTCCTATGGCTGTAGGCATGGCTGTGCTGTGAAGGGGAGGAATAAATATTTAGATAAAACAAAAAGGGGGTCTGGGAGATTGGCATTTCAACTGGCATGCATATAAGAATGCGAGAAAGACCTTTTATCTGCATAATGAATGCACACTCATGCCTGTGCATGCTTTCCCTGCCTGTGTGTTTGAGACCAGACCAGCCTTGCCATGGGGAGACGGGAAGGGCCCAGGTATATTTATATATTTATATATATGTGTATGTTCCAGTTTGTCCTCTTACCACTTCCTGTTAATGCTTGGTCACTGCAAACTGCTGCCAAAGTGTTGTTACTGCCGAGAAATTCAGAAAGTCAAAGCCAGTGAGTTTCAGTTTTTTGATGTTGCACCTTCCTCATATAGAACTGAAGAGGATTCATTGTTTTACAGTTTAAAGCCTGAATAGAAATCAAGAGAGGTGACCCCAACAGCTGCGGAAATAGGACTATAAATCTTATGGCGCTTAAAAATGGCCAGTCTTCTCGAGCACCTCTGGGCTGTAGAAGTGCAGCAGAAACAGCCATCTGTCTGCAGGACATGATACACGATACCTATGATTATTATGTTTGTGATTATAGTCTGAAACTTGAAATAAAAAGGCAGGATGACTTCGTTTTAAACAGTCCCCAGGTTGATACGGAAACCACAGCGAGCTCTGCAGTGTGATAAGAAGCTGGTGTATGTTTCATGGCCCTCTCTTTGAAGCTGCCCTGCTTTTGCTGGTGCTATAGCTTGTTAATGGCTGAGTGTTTGTTTGTGTGTGTTTAATGTCAGCTCCAGATGGCTTCCAGAAACTGAACTAACTGCTGACAATCTGTCTGCTTTGTAGAGGCGCACTGCCTCCCAGTGGAGAACAGACAGGCTCCTAACACAGACACCTGACATCTTCCAGTGCCAATGAAAAATGCATTTCGAGCCACGTTAAGGCTTTTCCAAACTATTATATGCACTCTTCATTGTTCATTTTTCTCTGATCTGGTTGCAGCTGTTGTGTGCGTACATATTTGTAAGCATTCAGTGAGTTCGTGACCTGCGAGCTACTATTAACACATTCAAACTCCTACACACCGATACTACCAGTGCTAAATCTTTGTCTCTCAGTGCGTCGTGCTCACACTGCTTTTTACCAGAAGGGCGGAAGCACTGCATAATCTCCATCATGTTTCTCAGTATAGGCGACTAACCTGCTGCTCTCTCTGCACACTTCACTCCTCTCCTCTCATACACGACTCAATCTGCAGCCTGTGTAACACGCGCGCTTTCTCCCTGCTTTAATTGTCTCAGCTTATGCCTTGTCTCTTTTCCTGCTGATACACCGACACAAATCTGTACACCCTTTTTTTTTAGATATAAAACAGTTTATCAGGCTGGAAGGTTTGACACACATTCTGGATTTGAAAGCTGATGGCTATGTCCATCATGCACACTGTGCAGCTCTAATGACTTCCTTGACTGGATACGTCAGTATCAACAATCTGCTTAAAGTGATTTGTTTCAGCTCCTATTATTATCATCCTCGCTGGAAAGTGAAGGCCCACGTAAACAATTCAAAGAGTTTTTTGGACACACTTTGTGTGGCTGCTTCTACTGCTGAGTTCAAAGAGTCCAACTGGGCAAGAAACAAGAGCAATCAGCAAGCAGTCAGATTTTAAACAAACCTCAGGGTTAAAAGAGGACCTCTTGTTCTTTTCCTATTTTCTGCTCCTATTAAACATGGTTGGGTTTCACGCAGTGAGGTCGCTCCTCATAAATCAAGCACAGAGATATAAGATCTTCAACCAACAGAGAAATCGAGTTAACTTTGCTGGACTTTACTGTGAGAAAAATAGCAGATCAAACAGAGTTTAATCAGAAGAATGATGTGAAAATCAGATAAACGACTGACAGGAGCCAGAAAAAAGTAAACATTTTGCTACATTTCATATCCAAAATGTGAAATCCAAATCTCTCTCTCCTCTATGTTTGCTTAATTAAGATCTCAGAATGGCTCCAACATGAAAAAGTTTTTTTCTACTCTTCTGGATGTGTGACATCAGCGATAGCAGGTCTCCTTATATGGTCATCTGAAGGGACCGGTGGGGTTGTGTATTAATGCTGTGCAGAACTTTGTAGATCCATTGTGTACATGTTGTAGTTGTGTTGTTGTTGGACCCCTAACTTAGCCTGTGCTGTGGAGAAGACAAAATAAATGCACACAAAGAACTTGTGAAGTGAAGTGAAACCAACTGCCAACTGCAGCCATTACCTGTGCTTCCGGTGGGCTTTTTGGAGGATTTTTGGTTCTTATGTTGTTTTGTTGATTTCCCCCCTCTCTTACATACGTAGAGCATCATCGCCATTAATGTCAGGCTCTGTGTTGATGGGGGTTTTTTCAAGGAAGGCACACAAGGACTTCTGTGTTGGCTACGTACCCATAATCTTTCCCTTTACTTAAACAAAGTTGTATATAAGCTGATTACAAATGCAGAACATTAGTTCAGCTGTGGCTGTGAGCACAGGAACCCGCTGGTCTTTAGTTTGCAAGATCCAACCAATCAGTAGAAAGTTGCCTTAAACTGGAATTGAAGGGCTGCACCGAGGCCAAGTATGAGACAAACAAGGATTGTTCTTAACTGTAAATCAAGCAAAGCTTGTGCGGTAGAAGAATAAACATGTGCACTGGAAATGAGGACAACAGGAATGCTTGGTGAGCACATGCAAGGTTTTTTGGTCACTCCAATAACAATGTCAGCCATAGAAAATATTCCCGTTGTTACACTACTGGTTTGCATCACTGTCTTCTCTGATGCAATTTAAAAATGCACTTTGTCCACAGACACTGCTGCGTTTAGTGCACAAAACACTTTCATCTTTTTCATTTAAAAAGTTGTTAAACTGGTGAGAAATGTATGTTGGGTTTTTTTCCCAAACGTGCGTGAGAGGAAACGTGACCACATTGTGTAATTTTGCTTAATCTTATGTGGTTTTAAAAGCTCTTTTTAGCGTGGTGATGTAGAGCGTGGTGAGAAAGGCATTTCAAGATCGGAAGTGGAAAACTGGTGTGGATTTACAGCCACGCCACCTTTGCTTTTTCCTTCAGTCTTCCTCACCACAGAGTGGGTCTGGCCTGCTTACAGACTTGATCTACAGCCTTATTAGTGGAAATGGAGCATTATGTCTTCGCCGGTCATCGTTCTTCTCACCATTCACGATTTACCATTCCCCGTGAATGATGGCAGTTTACACTCAGCACCGCCTCGTATGTCATCCTGTCGAGGCATGTGTTTGTGTTGAAGGCGGGGTCGCTGCGCACACTGAAAGCCCACTGCGTCTCCCCACTGATCTGCCATCCCCAAGGCTCCCATCTATTCTGCCCATTTAAGGAAAGCTGATGTTCGCGCGGTTCAGGCCTAAATGAATGCTGTTCTCGTCAAATGCTGCTGCTGCCGCCGCCGCCGCCAGCCAAGCTGCTGCAGCGATGCACGCCTTTCCCGTTTTGTCAGCAGATGGGCGTCCCAGACGCCGGGGGTGGGAAAAGAAGAGGGTGGGGGTGGAGAATTAGAGACATAAGAGTGACAGGTGTGCCGTGTCTTCATTTGTCAAGTCAGCCAGGTGTGTCAGCCAGGCGAGAAAGTGAGGAGAGATTAGAAAGAAAAGAAAGAACATGGAAAGAGAAAAGCCAAGAGAAAGGGAAAGAGGGGAAATTAAACCAACAGAGAGGAAAGACGAGAAAGGTGGAGGAGGGAAGAAAGATTTATTGATAAGAAATAAGGAATGGAAATTGGAAAGGAAAAGAAAAATGCAAAAGAAGAGGGGAGAAAGAGGAATGAGGGGAGAAACCAATGAGAGGAGAGAAGGGCTGAGGAATAATAGGAAAGAGGAAACAGAAGTCAAAGCTTTGAGAAGAGAGGGAAGGAAAACAGAGGGCTGGGTGGAGGTATGAAGGGTAAAATACAAAAGACATTTGTAGAAAGAAAATAAGGAAAAAATTGGGATACACATCAAGAAAAGGAAATATGAAAGGGGAGGATAAAAACTAAGAACAAGGAAACCAGGAAAAGGGAATAAAAATGGAAATAAAAAGAGCAGAACCAATGAAGCCAAGAAAGGTTAGAATGGGAAAGAGATCAAATTCAATGAATAGCAAGGAAAGAAATAGAAAAAGAGAAACATGAGTGTTGTAAATAAGGAGGCAAAAGAAAGAAAGGATAAAACAAATGTGATGGAAAGCCGAACTAAAGGTTAAAAGAGGAAAGAAACAGAAGAAATGAACAGGAGAGATGAGACCATGTTCACGTTCTTTTGAATCCTGCCGAAGCTGCAGTCAGGTTATCTGTCAGGTGACAATTTTATCTTTTTAATTTTTGTTG